TGTGTGTGTGTGTGTGTGTGTGTGTGTGTGTACACACAATGGTCTTTTTATACAGGATGAATCTAAAGAACTCTGATTCCCCTTTGAAATGTTTGCAGTGAGTTAGAAGGTGTAAGGGAATGCAGCTTTTGTGTGTGTGTCTGTACAATTCAGTGAATGGGAGGTAATGAGACTAGTAATGCCTGGACAACAGTTGCTGAGATACAAATCTTGGTAATAAGCTTTACCTCCCACTCTAATGCAGATCATTATGATCAAGTACTCCCACAGTGTGTGTGTTTGTGTATATATGGGTGTGTGTGTTTTCATAGTTCAAAGTAAATTGCAGCTTGGTCACCCAGCATAGGTGATTTACACACACAGAAATATGTAGGAATATTTGACCCAAAGGAATCAGTGTTAAATGTCATATTTAAAATAATGCAGTGATGCCTATCTTGCCCTTTGACCCTTCTTGCTCTGTTTCCTGTTTCCCTAGCAATGGCCACAACCAGAAGGTGCACATGCACATGGTGGACCTGATGAGCTCCATCATCTGTGAGGGAGACACTGTATCACAGGAGCTGTTGGACACAGTGTTGGTCAACCTGGTGCCAGCACACAAGGTAATGTGCACAATGAGGCAGACATGATAGAAACACACAAACACACTCGTACTTCTAACATGAAGTTAATATGAGAAACTGCTCAGTGTGGGATGTTGATCTGAGTTGAGTTGAAATCATCAGTAGACTGAAGCCAATTTCATTTTCCATACCTCGTAATTCAGTGAGACCCCTGCAGGGCACAAGTGGTAAAGCATCATTTGCACAGACACATCTAATTCAATCTTCCTAATGAGATTCTTCTGAGTGAATAACAAGAAATCACAGACTACTGTATTTTTCACATTATATTAATTAGTTTCTGTCGCAAAGACACTTGGACGTGTTTCTGGCCTGCTGTTTTTATCCAACTGTTGTTTTTCTGTCTGTCTAGAATTTGAACAAACAAGCTTACGACCTGGCCAAAGCTTTGCTGAAGAGGACTGCTCAGGCTATTGAGCCTTACATCACTAATGTAAGATTAACACACCCTTGTTAATTTTGTCTTTGCCTTTTTTAGCTGGTTGGTGATTGACTTTCTACATTGCAATTATGTACCTCCTTATCCAGTGCACTCATAATACAATTCAGAAATAATGCTTTTCACTGCTGTGACATTTGTTGGTGAAAAGGTGTGAACTGTAACCACAGAGTTTTCCTCATGTATCCTAACAAGAAGAGCAGGAAACAAATGTTGCTACAGAGCCAGGGCAGGTCATGCTGTAATTTTTCAACGCAAGAGGCTCATATCAGAGCAAACGATACAGTGGATGTTAAAATCAGCTATTAAACAGAAAACATTTGATGCATCCAAATATTTATGCCTAGCCTCATCACACTTATCACCAACCAGATGCATGGAAGGCAATAAACAAGGAGCCATATATCAGAAACGTCTGGTTGAGTTGCAAGAAAAGCAAAAAAAACATTTTTCCTCCCTCTCTTTCTCCTTCATCAGTTCTTCAACCAGGTGCTGATGCTGGGAAAGACCTCGGTCAGTGATCTGTCCGAGCATGTTTTTGACCTCATCTTGGAGCTTTACAACATCGACAGCCACCTGCTGCTTTCCGTGCTGCCTCAGCTAGAGTTTAAACTCAAGGTAAAAACACTCTTTCAGTTCAACATTGAAGAGCAACATTTTCTTAGACTCTAGCTGCCTGTTTTCTCTTTGAACATCCTACAGTTGTCCGATCATAAGTAAAACTAGAGACATTATCATTATCAAGATCCATCAATTATTTCTGTAAAAATTGTAAAAGAAAAATGTCTGGATCTGCTCCTCTGTTCAGATCCACACCATAATACAGTGGTTTCTTTCTTGGTGCAAAAACATAATCTCATCTGCAAAAATGATAAATGGCATTTTTATTGTGTTTCACTCTTAATTAATTGGACGTACAGAAACTGAAGCAGCAGCAATCCTCATGTTGATGTTGATGTTGATATTTTGAGTTTATTAAGGCACCAGACTAAAAACCTGAATTCTCTGACTCATTACCCGCAGAAATGCACATTCTCTCGTCCCTATTTGTTGTTTCATATTAGAGAGATAAAGCAGCCAGTCAGCATAATGTTGCCTCTGCAGTGTCTCATCAAGGCATCCTGCTGATGGATAACGCTCATTAACTGTTCGGAGGGAGTGTAGATCACGGCTGCCTTCTCAAAATAATAGCTGTGATAAAATCTCTCCCCCACAGTCAACACAAGCGCTCATTCTGTCTCTTTTCAACTTTCTCCTGTGAAAGTAAACCAGCATCTCTCTCTCTCTCTCTCTCTCTCTCTCTCT